TCGGTGATTCGTAAAGGGGGTGGGCATGTTGCGTGTATTCAAGAAACCAAAATTGCTTCAATGTCGGACTTGTTTGTGCGAAGTTTGGGGTTTGGGGGGGAGAGATTTGTGGAATGGATTGCATTGGATGCGATTGGTTCTTCGGGCGGTATCCTTATTATGTGGGACAACCGGTGGGTCTCTTTAATGGACTCTCAGGTTGGGATTTTCTCTGCTTCATGCGTTCTCTCTTTGTTGGAGGATGGTTTTCGTTGGGTTTTTTCTAGTGTTTATGGTCCTACAGAGGATTGTGAGCGTCATTTGCTTTGGGAGGAACTGGGGGAGGTTCAAAGGAGATGGTCGCTTCCTTGGTGTATTGGTGGGAACTGCAATGTTGTTCATTCTCCTTTTGAAAGGTTGACGGGAGAGGTAGGTGGACGGTCGACATAGAGGCCTTCTCGGAGTTCATTGATGCTTTTTGTTTGTTTGATTTGCCTTTGGTGGGTGGGCCCTTTACTTGGTCTAGTGGTCGCTCTCCTCCTACCCTTTCTCGACTTGACAGATTCCTCGTATCGAGTGATTGGGAGGAGTTCTCTGATGTTGTTTAGGCCACTTTGGCTCGCCCTGTTTCTGACTATGTTCCATTGCAGTTGGATTGTGGTGGCTTGCGTAATAGACGAACCCCTTTCAGATTTGAGAATATGTGGCTTCGGGCCGACGGTATTTTGGAGCGAGTCCGTTCATGGTGGTTGGGGTATGATGTGGTTGGCACCCCAAGTCATTCTCTCGCAGGTAAGTTAGGTCTTTTGAAGATTGATCTTAAAGTCTGGAACAAAGAGGTTTTCGGAAATCTGGTTTAGAGGAAGAACCGGGTTTTTTCTAATATTGTTGTTATTGATAGGATGGAGGGTTAGGGTATTTTGGCGGATTCCTTGAAGCTTAGGAGGGTGGAGTGTCAGGCGAGTTTGCTAAGATTGCTATCATGGAGGAGATTTCGTGGAGGCAAAAGTTTAGAGCGTTGTGGCTTAAGGAAGGTAACAATAACACGAAGTTTTTTCATAGACTTGCTAATGCTCATAGAAGGGGAAATCACATTGGGAGGATTCGGGTGGATGGGGAGAAGGAAGGTGACAATAACACGAAGTTTTTTCATAGACTTGCTAATGCTCATAGAAGGGGAAATCACATTGGGAGGATTCGGGTGGATGGGGAGGTGTTTTGTAAGGAGGAGGAGATTTGTAAAGGTTTTGCCGAGTATTTTTCGAAGTTGTTCATTGAACCTTCTGGTTGGAGACCTTTTCTTGCAGGGCTTCATTTTGATTCTATTTCGAGTGAGGAATGCTCTGTTTTGGAGGAGCCATTTTCTGAGGAGGAAGTTTTGTCTGCTTTGAAGAGTTGTAATGGGGACAAACCCCCAGGTCTTGATGGTTTTTCAATGAGATGCCTCTTGGAGTGCTGGGAGGTGGTTCAAGAGGAGGTGATGGGTTCTTTCCACGCCTTTCATACTCGGGGCTCTTTTGAGAAGAGTTTGAATGCCACTTTTATTGCTCTCATTCCGAAAAAGGGAGGGGCGCTGGATGTTAGGGATTTTCGCCCTATTAGCTTGGTGGATTGCCTTTATAAGTTGATTGCAAAAGTCTTGACTTCTAGGTTGAGGAAGGTTCTGGATGGTGTTATTTCCGACTCTCAGAATGCCTTTGTGGGAGGTCGTCAGATTTTGGATTCAGTTCTTATTGCTAGTGAATGTGTGGACTCCAGATTGAGCAGGTGGGGTTCCGGCTGTTTTGTGCAAGCTGAATATTGAGAAGGCGTACGATCATGTCAGTTGGAACTTCCTCCTCTACTTATTGGAGAGGATGGGGTTTGGTGAGCGATGGAGGAGATGGATCAATTTTTGTATCTCTAGCGCTCGTTTCTCTGTTCTTGTGAATGGTGCTCCGTCAGGGTTTTTCACTAGTTCGAGGGGATTGAGACAAAGGGATCCGTTTTCTCCTTTCTTGTTCCTTTTTGTGATGGAAGCTCTTAGTAGATTGTTGAAGAGGGCTATTGATTTAAGGTTTTTGAGAGATTTTCGGGTGGGTAGAGACGTTGCTAGTCAGTTGGAAATTTCCCACTTGATGTTTGCGGATGATACTTTAGTTCTTTGTGATGCAGATGCGTCCCAACTGAGATATTTGAGGTGTGTTTTGATTTGGTTCCAAGTAGTTTATGGGCTTAAGGTGAATGTTGGAAAGAGCGTTCTGGTTCCGGTTGGGGAGGTTCCTGAGATCGAGATGTTTGCTCAGATTCTTGGATGTCGCACTAGCTCTTTCCCCATTTCTTACTTAGGGTTGCCTCTGGGAGCCCCTTCGAGATGTTTGGAGTGCTGGGACCCGTTTGTGGATAGATTTGAGAGGAGACTGGCGGGCTGGAAGAAGCAGTATCTCTCTAAAGGGGAGAGGGTCACTCTGATCAAGAGCACCCTTTCTAGCCTTCCCACTTTTTTCTTCTTTCTCTTTCAGATTCCTTCTTCTGTGGCTAAGAGAATTGAGAGGTTGCAGCGCAATTTTCTTTTTCTTTTTCTTTTTTTTTTTTGGGGGGGGGGGGGGGGGGGGGGGGGGGGGGGTGTGTGTTAGGGCTTAGGAGGTTATTGCCTTTCAATAAGGCTCTCCTCGGGAAATGACTCTGGAGATTTAGGGTTGAGAGGCATTGGCTTTGGAGGAGAGTTATCGCTAGCAAATTTGGGGAGAGCAGTGAAGGGTGGAGTTCTCTTGAGGTGCATGGTCCTAGGGGGTGGGGGTTTGGACCTTCATTCGGAAGGGGTGGGATGATTTTTGCAATCATGTTCGCTTTCGGATCAAGGATGGTAGGAGGATTAGATTTTGGGAGGATGTTCAGTGTGGGGAGCTTTCTCTTGCTCTCTCTTTCCCACGGCTCTTCAGGATTGCTTCCCATAGACAGGCCATGTTGGTTCACTGTTATCATCTTGATAACGGGAGACTGACTTGGGATGTTCAGTTTAGGAGGCATTTTCAGGATTGGGAGATTGAGGATGTTTCTCGTTTGTTGGAGGTTTTATGTAGCCAGGTGATCACAGTTGGGGATTCAGATGGTTGGCTTTAGGTTCCTAACTCTCAGGGTCGGTTCGAGGTTAGGTCTTTTTTCAAGTGTCTTACAGTTGATGCTGGGGCCCTCTTTCCTTGGAAGTCTATTTGGCGTTCTAAGACCCCCCTCAAAGTGGCCTTCTTTGCTTGGATTTCTATTTTGGGAAGGATTTTAACCCAAGATAATTTGAGGAGGAGGAATCAGGTGATGGTTAACCGTTGTTACTTGTGCTTGTGTGATGACGAGACAGTTGATCATCTTCTGTAGCATTGCAGTATGGCCAGAGACTGCTGGGTTTTGATACTAGGTTTGTTTGGGGTTCCCTGGGTTATACCTTGTTCCACTAGAGGATTGATTGAGGCTTGGAGAGGCTTCTCAGTTGGGGCTCTCATTCGGGATGCCTGGAGGGCTAATCCTCTTTGTATTTGGTGGTGCATTTGGTTGGAGAGAAATCGGAGATATTTCGATGGAAAGGAGAAGCCTGTTTCTATGCTTAAATTCTCTATTATTTCCACTCTTTTTTGTTGGGTTCAGGGAGAGATTATAAATCTTTTGATGAGATTGTTTCTTTTTTGGACTCTTTGAAGGCTTGAGGCATTTTTTTTGGCTTTTGTGTTTCTTTGGGATCCGCTCCCCTTTAGAGCGTTTTTTATAAAAATTTTACTTATCAAAAAAAAAAAGCATTGCCTTGGTGCAATACAATAAACAATTAAAGGTCATTTTGTCCTCTTCCACAGCCTCAACTAGTATTTTGGACCTTCCTCCCCTCCTTGTGGTGCCCTTCACTCTGAACAAGATCACTTTTTCTTTTTCTTCTCTCTTTTTCTTTTTCTTCTCATAGATATACTACACTAAAGTATATGATTAGGACAATAATACATGAGATCTAAATGTTAACACATTTTAAAGCATTCTAATGACAACAAGATATTATACCATTTAACAAAATCTCATATATACAACACGATTAGTTGTATCAACTATATATTCTTCACGGATGTAGCTGTATTGAATCAGCTCTAGTATTATGTTCTTTTCTTTTTTTTTGATAACCCAGAACTCCCTGAGGCAAGGCCCTTCAGACCCACCGAGTTATGGGTTATCAAAAAAAAAAAAAAAAGGAACATAATACCAGAGCTGATCTAGTAATTAGTACCAAATAATCTATAATGATTACAAATTCTCAATTTGATTCCATAGTGAATAAAAAATTCTTTACCTAAAAACTAACTAAATTTTGAAAGAAAGAAAACTAGTCATGTTACTTGTTGAGGTAAACAATTACATATACTGATAAAGTACTTAAGAAGAGCTAATGTTCTTTTAAATGACATGATTTCCCAATGATATGAGCTCCCTATCTCATCAAAATTTATGCCAATAACTTATTAATGAATTTATAAATATATATATATATATATATATATAATAAAATAAAATAAAATAAAAATCATTAGGGCTTCTGTATACTTAAAAGAGACAATCTATATTTTGCTGAAAAGATCAGAAATATTCTTGAAAATACACACACAAGATCTTCTTCTTTTTTTTTTGGCATGAATTTATATACTAAATTACAAAGTTCTAGGATATGTTAGTGGAAATAACTTCAATACTATAATTAAAATATAAAGGGTAAAGTACCCTGTTGTACCCACCCTACGGAATGAAATTATAACACATGGGTAGAACTTGGTGAAAATTGCAGTCAAAGGACACGTAACGTTTCTTACGTCAGGGTTACCAATTCTAACAAGGCTGTCCGAGTTATTTTTGCAAAATTACTACCCGTGGGTGATAAGTTGAAACCTCAGGGGAGGTCAAGGTAATTTACCCAAATATAAAATATATAGTCTCATATGAATTCTAATTACTTGAGAGTCAATTGTAGACGAAAACAAAACATTAACTAAATTAAATAAGTGTAAACTTGATACTTGCAATGTGGAGAGCATTCCAGAATTCTTTTGGAATCTTCCTTGATAATCTTCACCAAGTCGAGGTCGAGTCTCAAACCTGAGAAATTGCACTCCGACGGAAAGGCAAATAAGTTGTAAGCATTACCTGCAATGAGCAAACTATATGTTCAAACCCGAGCAAGACAAAGTGTAATAATACATCTATTAGTAATCCTTTCTTTTATAAACCTCACTATAGTAGACTTTCGCCAAATCCATAAAACCTACATCTAGATCTTTCATTTTCTCTCTATATTATTCCATTAATCTCCTCAGTGAGTAAATAACTTCCATTATTTACCTTCGTTTTTTTTTCTTTTTTTTTTTTCCTAGTTGGTACTCACACACACTTGTCTCTTCTGAGACTTGAACCCCTGACCTCCCTTTGGAAAGTAAGAGGCTGATACCGCTAGGCGACTAGCCCGTTGGTTCCATTATTTACCTTCCCGACATAAACCCAAGTTGATTATCCAGTACTGTAGCTTCACGCCTTAATATCGTTCAATAACTCTCTCCCAAAGCTGCCTGGTATTCCTAATTATTTTGATACCATGATAACTTGAAATTATCTTATCACATTCACATAAGATATCACTAATTTATTTCCATTTTGCCCAATCTATTCCAATTCTACTTATTAGGTCTTTATCCATTTTCTCGGCCTTTTTATTAAAATCATATCCTAAATATCTAAAAGCATTATTTAGTAACATTTAATCTTAAATTGTTATCATTATACTGTTGTTCTCTATACCTTTATTGTATTCACATTCCATAGGTTCTGTTTTTAATATAATTTTAAGACCTTTAGATTATTAACGTATTTCAACAAGTTTTCAGTCCTTGTTGCAGGAGTTCTTTAGAAGTGTCTAACAAAACTACAAAATCATCAGATATGTACCTTGGAATACCTCGCTGCATGTCTCATTGTCTCTTATTATTATATCTAAAAGTATTGTTAACAAATATGGGCTTAGTATTAACTTGCCGGAAAAAAAGAAGAATACAGGCTTAGTATTGATCCTTGATGTAATCTTACTTTTACAGGAAAATAGTTTTTCCACATCAAGTAAGAATTGTTAATTTTAATAAATCAATAGGAATATCCTCCGATACTTGTTATTACATTATAGGAACAGACCCAAGGCTCTGATTTTCAAGTTTTAATTATTCTTAGGTAGTTATGCTGAATATCGTTTGAATTTCAGTTTTTATTTACTAGTTTTTGAATCAAATCATCACAAAAGAACCATACATCCATAAAATAATAATAATAATAACAATAATAAAGAACTATGGAACCTTGTCCAACAGAAAGAAAAAGAAGAACAAGAACAAAAAGGGCAGAGACACTGAATTTTTATGTGAAGAATCCTAACAGAGAACCTTGTCCAACCAAAAACAATTCACTGTATGAGAAAGAAGTAACAACTAGGCTAACCATTCCCTCACCCTAGAACCTCTAATTACCTCTTCACACATACTGAAACCAAACTTTCCAAACAAATCTCAAGTTGAATCCTTGTAGAAATCTGTTTTGAGAGAGTTCCAAAACTAAACCTCTGCAGTGATTCGATCAATCAAGGCATCGACCAATACCTATTGCCACACTGCTCAATCAATCAACCAATGGATCAAAGCATACTGGGTTTCAACAAAAAGATTTCTGAAAGAATTCGATCGATCTACTTACCAAAGTCTGTTGTAGAGGCCTTCGATCAATTGACACATTTCCAATAAAAAGTAGATTTTTAGAACCTACTCAAAAGTCAGTACTTTGAAAATCCATTTATCAAAAACAAGTTTAAATAAGTATTTTGAGTACTTCGAGATCAAAACTAGGATATCTAAGGTATTTCTAAGATCAGTTTCATCTGTCCTAGATATATGATTGAACATGCAGTTTTCTCGCCATATTCTTTACAAATCTTTGTCCGCACAATGGCTGTACTCATATGACTCACGACACTTGGACACATTTCAACTAAATTTTTAGATAGGAAAATGCCAAAACAATTTTACCATAAGCCTTCTCTAATTCTACAAAGATCACGTATAAATATTTCTTTTTATTTCATTTATACAAATTGTCTTTCTAAGTGGCATCCACCCAAGTCCATAAGTCCGTAGTATGACATATCAATTTAGTTCCTCTATAGTTGTCATATTTTTTAATTAATTAAAGCAATTGAAGCCAAATATGATGGGAAGACAGAGAGAGAGAGAGAGAGAAGGTTAAGCATGAAATTTTCTGATACATGGGTGTTACAAAGGAAATAAAAAAGGCAAAAAATTGACAGCTACGGACAGCAGCGAAGTTCTTTTTGAGACAACCAAACTTCTAAATAAATGTACAAGCCACCTTAATTGTGAAAGTGGTTACATGTTACCTTAGTGATATGCATTGTTTCAAAATTAAGAAGTAAATTAAGTAATACCTGAGGTTCTACATGTGGTATTAAAAATATAAGAGGAGAGACCGATATTTAGCACTCTAATGGAGACAATCAATTAAACTTATAAGAAGTGTTTCTCCAGAGGGAGGTCACAAAAAGAAAATAATTCTAATGGCAAAGTGGAACAAAACTCACCCTTCTCCAGCCCCACTCGTTTGTAAAATAATAATACTAATAAAATTGTCATATATTACATACATCTAAAAAAATACTAAAAATAATAAGCTAAATAAAGTTTAGTTCAATATACAAGGCCTGATTCCTGTCAGCACAGACCACTACATAACTATCATTTAGGCAACTATGTAAAACCCTTATAATTAAAACAACCTAACAAAAGAAAATTTATATAATTGGGCTGAAAAATAATTCTTATCAACATTTGCAATTGCAGTATAATATTACATCATATATTAACCTAAGAGTTACCTGTAGGCTTCTCTTCAAGGAATCTATCTCCATTTCTTTTTTGTATAGAGTGTTGTAATACTTTAATGGATGATATAGGGTCGGCGGATCCTCCAGCATGATATGTAACCTTTTCAATATCTACTGCAACAGCCGAAGCTCCTCTATTGAATGCATATCCAGGATTAATTAAGGATGAATATCATAAAATAATTAATTCACAAGAAATATAAAAACTGAATGATGGAGAGATATACTTAGATTGCTCCATGGTAAATGGTGTAACTGAGATGTTAATAAAAATAGGCTCAGTTAAAAGTTTTTAACTTCAAATTGAATAGAATTCTACGAGAAAAGACCACACAAACACAGACACATAACATGTAATAATATCGACATCTTTTCTCAACATTAACATAACATGTAATAATATCGACCAATAGACATCAACTCAAGGTATTGCATTAGTATTTTCAATTAAAACATCCAGTACATGTTGCCTCATAGCCTAATGTATAAATACATCTTTTATTACTATTCGCAATTTATGTGTACTGAACCCATTCCATTTCTCAAAAAAAAAAAAAAAAATAAACAAATAATTCATGGCAGTATAATGATTCTATACACCATTTCATATCCGTGCACCTGATACAATTACTGTCATACAGCATTATGCAGTTCAAGACTAAAATTCTCATATAAAGAACAAAACTTGATGCACAATGATTATATCAAAAGTTCAACAAATGTTTCCAACATATGATTGTTTGATTGCTGCTTTTGGACCTGGTAGCAAATGCAAGTTAAGTAAATAGCTTGGATGCTCATTACCGCTTGAACTCTCAAGCAGTAGGGATGCATGACAGTTTAATTTCCATTGAGATAGATTATAAGAACAGTCCTGAATAACAAATCAACTCCAAACTAACAACTCAATAAATGAAAATGTTTGCCTCAAATCACATGGGTACGGAGCAGAGACAACAAAGCAAAAGGCGATATCCCGGATTCAAATAGCTCAATATCATGAACATCATAATTTCTTCTTAACACAATATACCGCAATCTTATAAAAATGGTTAACATGGAACTTCAACGAACCATGAAATCACATCTGACTTGTTAGTAAGGATAAACTAATCAGTAAGATTTTCATGTGGTGGCTAATGTCTTATCTTATAGAGGGTCCACAATAATGTAATGGCTCCAACAGAGAAGGCTCAACTCCGGTGAATTCAGTGATAGGTTAGCAGATTTTCTAGTTGCTAAACCAATGTTTATAATGAAGTAACAGAAATAAAAAGCAAGGGCTGGTAAGGTGGGAGGATACTCTCTTATCCCAAGTACGCTATTGTGATTCTCCATAGAGTACATAAAACAGCTTTGATTGCTCCAAGGGAAAGCCTCACCGACAAGTTTTAGTGCTGCTGTTGCCCCAGAAGTGAATATGCATTTGTAGTCTTTTGGGGATGCATTACAGAAATTAAGAACCTGTCCCGCAGTCAAAATGCAGTGGAAAAGGCAAATGAAGAGCAAATATCAATTGTTTGTCCACAAATAAACACACAGAAATAAGAAACAAAAAATAGACTACGCACAAACACCAATGAAACACAACAAGGAACAACTAACAAACATCCAATCTGTCCCTGCATAATACCTACTAGGCTACCACACAGTTGTGATCTCGGGTCTGAGCCCTTGATGAAAGATAATAAGATGTGAAGTGAGAAGATTTTCTAAATCCAAAAGAGCGGTGTAAAACTCAGCCAGAGACAACAACCTGTTGACGAGCTTCCCTTACAATTTCAGAAGTGGCCAAGCTGGAGTCGCTTTGGCTATCTAAATTTTTTCAAGGTTAAGGACTCCATTTGATATAAATAAATGAGGAGCACAGGAATAGACATATCTGCTTTAAACCTAACAAGAGCATAATTTGGAACGGACGGGAGAACCATGCCCAGCAATCTTCCAATAATCATTAGAAAATTACAAAAATAGAAAAGAAAGAATTATGTTTTTGTATGAACGAAAAGTAATATAAAATAACCAAATTGAAGGTTTAACAATTTACCAGTTTATAGAACTAACCACCCGTGTAGAGTGCTGAGAGGGTTAGACTAGAGACAAACCTACCCTTCGGCATTATTTTGCACAAACTAGCTGCCCACATCGTCAGACGTGTCAGCCCTGGATTTTACTTTCTTTTTTATTTTATTTTCAATAAAGGCTAATAGAACTAAAAAGAGTAAAATTTACTTCTCAATATTGAATGTTGCGACCAAAAACATTAATGGTGGATTTGGGAGCAAGTTTGAACTACATTTCCTCCAATTCCAAATCCAAGGTGCCGATTTGGTGCCCCCAAACATAAGCATAAATAAAATCCAATTAGCAGTACATACACAGGCCCATATCAGGCTAGTCAAGCAAAAGTCATTATGATTACTTGTGTTACTGAATCAAAACAAGCCTGAATAACAAAGTTGCCAGTGGAAGAATTTAAGCAGGAGCAGATATATTTTCCATGTGATATACAACCATTCAATTTGTCAGTTTGTACAATTCTTCTAGCATAAACAAATACATTTGGCAAAGTATATATATAAGTTCTCATCAAGGACAACAAAGAATCCTCCGCTAATAAGCCTAATATAGAGTTGTCATTATTGCAAACTACCTAAAAGAATACTTCAAATTCTAAGCATGAATTTGAAGTATCTATTCATTAAGCTAATATAGTATTTAACAATTTGCAATATATTAGCTTAATTTGCAATATATTAGCTTAATAAGCTTTTATTTATTTATTAAGCTACTATAGCATTTAACAATTTGCAATATTTCTAGAAATTTCATAATACATAAGAAATGAGAGTTTGTTTTTTACAATTTGGAATATTTTTCCAAAGATAAAACTATCAAAGGGGTCAACAAATGATCTTCTTCCTAATGACCTCCGGGCTTCTTGGAAGTGTCCACAAGCAATGCCCTTAACTAATTAGCATATTGTCACATAAATATTACAAATGGGATTGGCTTTAATCAAATTAAGCTACTTAAACATGGTATCAACCAACAAAACAATAAAATTAGCATACAAGGATACGAGGATTCCCATAGACATTAGAAGTAAGATCTTTGAAGATTGCTTCCATTTGTAACTCGGAGTATAAAGTTGCCCCAGCATGATCCAAGTACACAACACCTAGAGATTACCAACACGAATCAAAAACAAATAACCAAATTGACACTTTCCATCTGTTTGATTGCCCAGGAGAAGGAAAATGAGGGAAAATCAATTTAATTTCGTTAACTTCCATTATTTGATTGATTGAGTTCTTCTCTTTCTCTTGGTTTAAATTTTTGTTGGGAATTCTTAATCTTCTTGATTTTTCTGTTTCTAAGTAAGCAAGCAAGTGAATGGGAAAATGAGTAGGAAATAATAAAAGAGAAATGAAAGAGTGAAATCAGACCATCCAATCTCTTGAACTCGGTGGCTCGGATCTCGTCGATATTCTTGGGGGCGTTCGGATACCCGTAGTCGTCGCCGAACTCCTTCAGAAATCGCTCTCTCTCTGATTCGGTGTTCATGGTTGTTGGTTGATGATAGAACAGCACTAGAACACGGTTGTCATAAATTGTACTACGTGTGTGTATATATATATATATAGGGTAAAGTGCATTAAACCCCTGAACTATTAGTCATTTGCGAGAAACCCCCTGAACTACAAGAAATTCCCCTGAACTATGATTTTGTTACAATTTACCCCCTTGAACTATTAATCATTTGCAAGAAACCCCCTGAACTACAAAAAAAACCCCTGAACTATGATTTTATTGCAATTTACCCCCCTGAACTATGATTTTGTTGCAATTTACCTCCCATGACATCAGCTTCCGGCACCGAAAATTTTGAAAGACCAATTTACCTTTATAATACACTGCGTCGTTTTAACTTATACACTTCTTACATTTTTTTTCCTGCCAAAAGATATTTTTCACCCAACACAACCCAAAACAGAAAGCTAGAGAGAGAAAGAGAAGAGACTAAAGAAATCCGAGGTCGACGGGATGGCTCAGTCTCAGATAATGGCGGCTTGTGCACGGAGGACTTGGCTGTGATGACAGCTCGGTTGACTCGGCTGTGAACAGTGGAGGCGGTGGCGAGCTCAAGGGGGCTCGGCGGTAAACTGTGGATGACTGTGTGCTCGAAACACGGACGTCGGTGTACTTGGCTATGGAGATGGCGGAATGGGCCGGTGAGCTTAGAATGGACGGTGGAATGGACGGGCGAGCAAGGTGAGCTGTAAGGTGGGTAAGGCGGTGACGGCAATGGGCTGACGCAACGGTGCAGAGAAGTGCAATATATATGGTCGACGGATCTAGCAAGTGGTGCAACGGCTATGATGGAGCTATGACAGGATACCCACCGATCCTAGCAACAAATTCCTTGGCTTATCCAAACATTCCTCAGATGACATCTACCACTTCGATCCCAGCCACAAATTCCTCGGCTTCATCGTCCCTTTCAGTCAATCAATTGTTGCGGATGGGGTAAACTGCCAAAAAATATATAGTTCAAGGGATTTTTTTGCACATACCCCAATAGTTCAGGGGTTTTTTTTTGCAACTTTTATAGTTCAAGGGGTTTCTTGCACATATCCTAATAATTCAGGGGGTTTTTTGCAACTTTTATAGTTCAGGAGTGTTTCTTGCACATACCCCAATAGTTTAGGGGGGTTTAATGCACTTTACCTCTATATATATATATATATATATATATATGCAATTAATAAAGGATTTAAAGAAATACGTGGACGCAATGGTATCTGATTAGTTGGGGAAGATTTGAGTCACGACTATGATCCAATATTTAGGCCAAATTACTCCGATACAAAAATACTCACGGCATCTGTTTCTTTTAAAATTCAACTACACTTTTCTCGAGGTTCACAGTGACACTGCCAACAACTCTTGCAAAATTATCCTTAAGTCCTCACAATAAATTATATAAATATATATATATATATATATATACACATATATATATTCTGTTGATTGAGATCAATTTGTGAAAAATACAAAACTTCCAGGATGCAATGAGAAACATATTACATCAAAATAAAATACTCCTACTAAATTGAAAATGCAACATTTTTACATACTTGTTACATCATTTGTTTATATTATATTGCATCTTTGATTTAATTGTACTGAAAAGTACATTACATAGCCGAGAATATTTGCTCCTCTTAAACCACGAAATTTTGTTTTTATTGGCAAAATATTTTATAAATTAAAAAGTGTTGTTAATTTTCATTTGATTATATAAATAAAGTCCCTTCCTCAATGTGCTTTAACTTCACAAAACTACAAATTGGTTATTAGAATTTTAAAAGATCAATTTTAAGCAAAGTATTATTTTATTACTCAATGCAATACATTTTGAACAAATTTAGTTGTTATACAATTAGATATATATATATTTTTTAAACATTAAAAAGAAACTCACTCACACATCCAAAAATTGATAACCAAATAAATATCATTTTAATTAAATAAATATCACTTAAAAGGGGAGAGTAAAATTTTAATAAGCTTGAAATAATGGAGACTTCATCTATTCACTAAGCCGTAACACTTTAATATAAAACAAAAAGGTTATTAACTTACAATTAGCAAATAAAAGTTCAAACCCATTTTTTAAATTTTACAGCATCTTCATTTAAGTGGAGCCATCTATTTTGTTTGTTGTGTGTCATTAAAACACATTTTCATGATCAATATCATTTTTCTTCTCATCTAATTTGTTTCAGGCTCTATCTTGGGTCTAAACAAATATGTTTTCTTTTGTCCCGACAAATAACACCACCATGCATTTTTGCCCACGATAACTTAAATGTTCAACCCCAGCTAAAGTATACTTGACACACCTGGAATATAAACACATCATCATATGCCAGCTCAAAAAACTTTACTTTGAGTAAAAGAATACAAAAGGAAGCATAAAATGACCCAGTGGCTTGGATCATGGAAACAAAGAAGTTAGGCATCTCCTCATCTGTAAGGAATAGGAATAAGATCCAATGAAAAATAAATACTAGGAAAAACGAAATGGTAAAACCAGCAGTGCAATCCTCTTTCTATATATAATGATTTTTCCGAACAATAGACATCAGAGGAACAGGAGGAAATGAAGTTCCTGTTTCAGTTCCCGTGCTGCTCGTGTTTCTGCTTCATTCAGCAAAAAAAGGGCAAATCGAAGGAGAAGGAGAAGGAGAAGGAAACAAAGGGTGACTGAAAGATGAAACCAATGTGGCAGTCTCACGAAAACTTGTGGAAACTTCTGCAAAATTTGCCAACTGTTTCTGATCTTTCCCTTCTTTTTTACTTTTTCTTTCCTTCTTTCTTTCCTTCTTGGAGAAATGCATCGCAAACTGTACATCTTTCTTATGACTAACGAAATGTGTTGATGGATCACTTGCAATATGGTATTGGTTAAAGAATAAAACTTCAGTTGCTTTTTTTGCTCCTCTCTCCATCATGTTTTGGTGCCAAGCCCATCTCCTGCATTTGCTGTTCAACAGAAACCAGACCAGTTTGTGCAAGAAACCTGCAGAAACAATCAAACCATAATGCATAACGAAGCATAGCCATGGTTCAAAGTTTCATTTTGGTATTTTGAATGATTTCCAAAAATAAAGGTAAATTCATCGCCCCGAAAAATAGCCTGAACAAAAGTCATACAAGAATATTTTAGAGACACTTGTCACTCTTCTCCCTTCCCAACCTAGAAAGGGAAAATTTGATTATGCTTATGGATATCATCATCAACTTCCATATTCAGACTTCAGAAATGTCACTTCACAATTCTAAGAGATGTCAGCATCTATTAGTTATCTATATCACGAATTCAGTCTCTTGAATTTAGATTAAGAAATTAAGCTTTGCATCTGTAACAACCACATAAAAGATCACCCAAAGCACAAACAGCACAATCCCAATAGGTATAACCACGGTAATACTAATCAACCATTTAAAAGGCAACAGAAATATGCGTTTTCAGATGATACTCTAATACACGTGTGTGATGTTGTGGCCCCAATTTGGTGCCAGGTCGCACGACCCGGCGGATGAGCTTACAACCCGACAACCATTTGGACCCGTTTTCTCATGGGTTGTGGACCCTAATTAGTCTCTTGTAACCCAATATATAAGGGCACTTAGGGTTTGGAGTGGTGTAAGAGATAGACTCTAAATTCGTACAGAAACAGAGTGAGGAGCTGAAAACTTGTAATCTCTAATTTTACACATGGTGAATACTTTCACCGAATCTCCACCATGGATGCAGGCTGTTGTTGAACCACGTATAAATTTTTATATTCTTTGTATGGTGTGTTTACTTTTCTGTCTTGATTCTTGGTTCTATCTTGGGTTCGCTGCGTTCGTTGTAACACAAATAGACACATGACCAATGCCATGAAATAAGATCTAGGTACTGCTTATGGCAGCCATGCAGGAAGGTATACATTGATGTAGTCCTTTTTAACTATAATGTCTCAACAGCATCATTGCTTCTAGTTGACAGCACAAAATGAAGAAGCGTGGTTTAAAGCGCAGGATCTAAAGCCACAAAATATGAAATACTTGAGAATAAGATGCTTCACAAAGAGCTGGTTGGTTCCAATATTCTCAAGTGCAATTCCTATATCAGCATTGATGTGAGGTTCTAGAGACTGAGGAATCACTTAAACTATAATCGAGTCACCGGTGACTAGAGGCCTAACAGGAAGCCCAAACATAAAAGCGCTTGCACTGCTTGTTCAACCAAATGAAGGAAGTTCGGTGTACGCTGAGGTGATTGAGTCTTCAGCTGATTGGATAGCTAACTCGCAAAGGGTGACCTGACAGGCAAAATGATCGGGGTGGCAAAAAGAGTCCGTCAAACGCCCGGTGCTGCAGCCAGGGGTTGAGCCAATTAAGGCCCAGAGGGGGCACGTGCCCCCCCTCACCTTGCTCCAACCTACCATACATAGGTACATATTTTTGCTATATACATATACTTATATGGTAATTTTAAATAGTGCCCCCCCTAAAATTTTTAAATTTTTCTAATTTCCTTTTGAAAAAAAAAAAAAAAAAAGTTACATATTCCTAGCCTTTGGATTGAGGGAAGAGTTTGAGACACAAATGGCGCTATCTTCTCATCCTTCGTGGAGGTAGCGCGACCTCTTTCCTCAAAGATCTCCCAATGAAAAATCTCCATCTGGGTCTTCTCAATTTTATCCATCCTTTGAAGTGGAGCCTCGACTCCTCAAATGACCTCCATGAGCGCTGCTTGCGTGCACGACTTGACGAGAAACAAGGGCTTCTTGAGCTCATCATGGATAAAGTGTTCCTACCTAGTGGAGTCGCCAAAATGTTAATTTAAGGTTCTAGAGAATGAGAAATCACTTTTAAACACAACTCTGGGTGAAAGTGTGAGTTGTCCTGTGAGAGCCCTTCTGCGAGGGCTCGAGAAAGAGTGGGAAAAACTCTTATAATCTCATTAGAGTGGGATGAGGTTATTTGGGGCTTTAATGCTCTGCTATTTGGGTTGTTGTTGTAAATAAATCATTAGCTCTCCTTTTTATACTAACCTACTCTTGGGTAAATACCATAGGTGAAGGAGATTGCCCATCGATCCCTAGTCAGATGAAGATGTGACTATTAGGAGGCTTTAGGCAGAATGCCTACTCTATTATGGCAAAAGAGGGGGACAAAACATTTAACGCGATCATGACAGGACAAGTGTTGCAACAAATGCGAGAGTTCCGGGGCTTGCTTTCGTGACAGGCCCAAAGTGTCACCACGCTCCCTCAAGCTTCAATGCACCCCTTTGACGTCTCTTGAACCTTAGCAATTTTTAGAAAATTGTAAGAAAGCAGAACACTAACTAAACATGCCCTATGCCGAGACTGTGAACCTTGGATGCAATAAAATTTTAACGTCTACACTAAATTACGTGTTCTATGATATGAGTATTCATTTATTTCAAAATTAAGTTTATTCTAGTTCATTATTTTCATAAAAAATATAATGCTAAGCATTTTTAATTATGGCACCAACTTAAAATTTATTAATAAGTCATTGCTTTTGCTAAATGGTCTTTAAAAAATTAATAAAATTCACCAAAATTCACAAAAAAAATCCATCTTTATCGAATTATGTTGTAAAAAGTAGGTGCATTTTGGCCATTAAGTGCAAGTTTGAAAAAAAAAAAAAAGAAAAAATCACAATTGCAATAACGGATTCCGTTGCGTAATGCTGATACGGGCCAATTCTGTTACACCGCAACCACAACTGATACGGATACGGAGACTGCAAACCTTGGGTGCAATACATCAAACATAATGCATATACTGAAAATAAAAGCTACCTGCAGTTATATAATCCCTGAAATCGTAATAAAGCCACAATAACATAATTCTAAAGTTACACCAATAAAAAAATCAAAAGCTTAAATCTGAAGTTACTATAATATACTGTTCAGAACCCAATAACTAAAAGAAAATAATGTCAAAACATGAAGTATACAATGGAACAGTTGCACAAAACGAATAATTCAGAAAGAAATTCTTCTTAGATTGAACTACCAAACCGACAAAACAATTCGAATTTAAAATAACCAGTAGAGATTAAAGAGATGATATCGTATGGACTCCAGATGAAAATACCTATTAGTTAGTTTAAAATTCAAATTGTTTAATGGGTCTAAACTTTTGATTGCTACCCCCATGTTCACTCTGATCACATGCACAAAAAGGCAAAATATGTAAGTTTGATGAAAGATTTAATGATACCTGCTTAGAAGCAAGAACAGAGTCCCAGTAATTAGAACAAGGAATGCAACATGAAGAACCAATACAGAGTCGCTGGAAGAGAAAGCTAAGCCCAGCATAGCAGCAAGACAGAGACCCAACAACAGAAACGCTACTTTTAGGGTATTCCAAGTGGGACCCTGAAATCAAAAAAACAAAAGATCATAACTTTGTCAATAATGTATATAAAAGAGATTTAGAAGAAAAAAGATGAAGATCTTGTAGTACAAATGGAAAATTGCACGGACGTTGACACCAGGGGCTAGGGCTCCAAGTAACACTGCTTGTGCAGGTGAAACATCTTCTCCACCAGACTGTTTGCGGTCCATTATCGTTTACTTCAAATCTGCAATTCCAGTCTCTCGACCCTCGACGACTCTGAGATGAGAGAGTGAGTTTGAATTGGGCGTAGAGAACGCTGGAGATCCCCCTTGAGACTTGAGTCGGTGAATTGAGTAAAAAGTATTTGAGTGGGTGGTTCGTTAGACCCAGCTTCGATTGGGTTTTTATGAGTTGTTTTCGGGTCAAATATTTCCAGTGGGGCCCATTTAAACACAAAATGCACTCCAAGTAAAAAATAATATTTTTACTTTGAACTGTGTTCATTGCTATTTACAAGCCTGTTTGTCTGATGATGTATATTTGCTGCAAAATTTTTAGAACCAAAAACATGAAAGTATATTTTGTATTTGACCAGATGGATTGTTTGAGGTTTATTTACTTTTAACGGTCTAACCTCATACTTTGTTCACCAAAATTAAATGACTAGTTTAAAAATGTAATTTTAGATCACCAAAATTAAATGGCTAGTTTAAAAATGTCAATCACCAAAATTAAATGATTAGTTTAAAAATATCATTTTAGCATCATCATCTCTTTTCTTTTTTTTTTCTTTTTTTTTTTTTTTTCTCTCTCTCTCTCTCATATCTAATGCTGTCCTCCTGCTACACCAAACAGAGTCTTTAAGATTAAAAAAAAAAAAAAAAAAAAAAAGAAAAAAAAACTTTTCCTGGCATGGTGAGAATGGAATTAGTGACGGTTTCTTACATTCTTTTCCAACTATGGAAGCCCATGGAAGAATGGCATTTTGTTAAAGAAAGAATCCACCTTGCTGGCATAATTGAAGGATCAAGTAGAATAATCAGATTATAGTATTTGTATTACTAAAGATTCTCAGGAAGGGAAATGATGGAACAAATTAGGTGGAAGGGGAACCTTCCAAACTGCGATTAGCTTAACCTTAGCTTTGACGGGTCAATGTGTTGGGAAACGTGCTAGTTTTAAAAACTTTTTGAGGGATCTTGATTCATCACATAGAGACAAGTTTTATGTAAAAATAAAATATGATGTATCATTCAATTAATGAATTGAATACTTACATCAAAGGTCTGAGTAAACCTTTAAATCTTTCCTTTAAAGTGAATGTTCTCACTTATTGTAAATCCCTTAGCAAGATACCTTCTCCTTGGATCTCCATCTTTTTGGTAATTGTTTTGTCTTTAGGAATCACTCATATGCCTCCATGAATGACTTTGGAAAACTAAGCTTGTGGGAGCCTCCATTAGATGAGAATATAAACCCTAATTTTCTAGAGAGAAAAAATAGATTCATTTTTCCTTCTTCCAAAAATCACCCATAAAATATACATAGACCATGTATATTTATAGGCAACATAAAGATAAAGAAAATGAAACAACAAATCCTTCTCAATCTCTAATTCACATGTCTCAAATCTAATATGATTCTAATATCAAGTTGGGTTATGAGTGAGAATCCATTGGGCCTATTATTTTATTGGCTACAATGAATTAATAATTAGCCCGGTTCATGGACCCAATTCAATTAATTCATAAATTAATTTCTACTCCACTAAAAGAAATTAATTGAACTCTAATTAACTAATAAATAACCTCTAAGTCAATATTCCACTTTGACCCCTCTATGCATAATTAGTTATTGGATAAATAAAGCCATCAATCCGACTACTTAATTAATATATTTATTTTGGTATCATTGATTATTTCTGACTCGATCACAATAAAATATTTATTTGACAAAAATAATAATATAAATAAATAAATATATAATAAATCATTTTGTCTAAAAACATACGAAAGCCTTCGAATTTACTTTGTGATCAACCATGATCAATCATAATCAATACAAAATAAATACAAGTAGCAATGATGCAAATATTGAAAATATAACCCTCTAACTATTAATTACATAACTATTCAAAGTGTCGGTCTAAGGATCCCGAAGTATCCGCCAAACAAATCAAAGTAATTATTAATTAATAAAAGAGTTTATACTTTTCTCATGCTTAAGAGTCAAATGCCATGACAGTGATAGGGAGCAATTACATACGACGGCTCTCGCAATATATCTTAACCTAACGCGGATCCAGTTCAAGTCTTAATTAATTATGAGTCCATCCATAATTACCAACTATGAACGATTTATGATTACTATTTATATTCATGTATTGATCGCCATCACATACATATATAAATATCTCTTGTAATCAAGTGGACACTATCAATTCTATAATGAATCGAAATATAATACATTGAATTCACCAATTATATAAAGCATAAATATTTCAGAAACATCAGGAACATATGTCACTATTATCCAGATAGGAATTTGCTATGCCAGGGCATATAAATCCCAACAGCTCCCACTTGCCGTCATAGCCAATTCAAATTGCATCTAACTCCAATGTTATCCAGATGACGATCAATGACACATTTGTTAATAGATCAACAAAGTTGTGTTCCAATGCAATGTTCTAGCCACAAGTACATTTTCTCGTGCGGACAATATCACGTAGAACATAATACTCCCTTTCAGTGTACCTTGTTCCTATATGGAACCTTGGGTCATTGGTTTGGATTACTTGTGCACTATTGTCGCAATATAGCTCGATAGGCAGGTTAGTATACTCCACAACCTCTAAATCAGTGAGATCAAACCAAAAGGCTTCCTTTGCTGCCTTTAAGGCTGCAATGTACTCCACCTGCAGGTTTAAGTCAGCAGTTGAAATCTGTTTAACAATCTACTAACTGATTTCCCTTCCATTGAGTGAACATACACTAAGTCATGAACCTCATTGTATCTACTTCTGATTGAAAATCAGAACTAGCATACCTGACTAGGACCATATCATCACATCCATAAATGAGTATGATATCATTGGTCCTCCTTAGGTACTTAATGATATTTTTCACAACAGACCAGTTATCAAGTCCAGGATTGGATTGATATCTTCTGACTATCCCTACTATATAGCGGATGTCCTATTTGGTATAGACCATGGCATATATGAGACTTCCATATGCCAAAACATATAGTTCCAGTCTCATTTGCTCAATCTCCTTTGATAGTCTTGAAAAACTACTTACTAGAGAGAGCCATCCATATCAATAAAGCAAGAACTCATTCTTTGAGTTATGCATACCAAACCTGGTCAAAACTTTATCAATGTAGGATTATTAAGATAAGCCTATTTTTCTTTTAACCTGATCTTGCTCAAGCTTGATCCTAGGAATATAGCTTACATCTTGAAAATCCTTCATTTAAAAGTAATTGAACAACTACCTCTTTATTGATGACAAAACTTCCACATCATTCTAAATGAGTAGGATGTCATCAATATATATAGAATCAGAAAAATAATGGCATTCCCTTGTACACTCATGATTAATTCACTAAAAATCTTCTGGTATCTTTTTGTAGATTAACTTGTCTTCCATAGGTATCATCCTACTAGAAAGTTCTACAAGATCCCAGAATTTATTAGAATACATAGATTCCAACTTTGATTTCATAGTAACTCGCCAAAACGATCTATATCCATATCGGTTCACGCTTCCGTGTAGTTTACTGGGTCCAACTCATGTTTAACAGGGATGTCCATAACAGTCTCACCTAAAAACATGATTCTGTCATATTGGATAATTATCCTCCCACTACATCAATGTACCGATGAAGGAATCTGTGTACTAGATGATACTGACGCATCAATAGGGAATTCATCTATAATTCTAAATCTCTATACTAAGTGTGTTCATATGTGGTACAACTGGTACTCATACCATATTCTCTAACACTATACTACTAGGTATGTGATTCATAATATGATTCTCCTATAGATAAACAGTGAGTGTAAACAATCAACTTTTATCATTGAGATCATAAAATAATCCATCCTAGTGACTTTTAGAGTAGTTATCAAATCTATCATGCGTATGATCTGTTTCCAACTTACTTGTCCACATCAAGCGCACATGTGCAAGACTACCCCATATGTGCATGTGATTCAAACTAAGATTTAGTCAAAAACACAGCTCAACGGTATCTTTGAGACAGACTAAGATGGAATGTAGTTCATAATGCGCATCGATGTCATTAACGCTAAACTCTTAAATGAAAGAGATAATATAGCATAACAGATCATAGATCCAACCATGTTAAGCGGAATTCTGTTATTCCTATTTGACACCTAAATCCATTTAGCGTCAATTGCGGAAAACCTGGTACACCACACCCTTATTGACCATATAGTCTTTGCACTATCCCAAGAAATACTCATCTCCATGATCAGATCGGATTGTTCTGATAAGCTTACCTAATCTGTGCTCCATATCAGTCTTGACACTTTCAGAATGTACCAAAAGTTTAAGACTTATGTCGCATCAGATAAATTTATCCAAAACATGAGTAATCTTGCTTGGATGTTCATAAGACCACACGTGTCTGTGTGTACCGACTCCAATTGTCCTTTATGTCTATTTCATTTGGCTGATTAAGCCCTTAGAGTTATTTATCCTTCAAAACAGGATTCACAAGTTTGGTTTAGGCTCCTCTGCCTCACTAGGTAATAAACCTTCTTTGACTAATCTTTGAATCTCATTTTGATTGATAACAACTCAAAAATAGACATTAAAAATACAATGAGTCAGGAATAACAAATTTTCTCTTAACATTCAATCTAGAAAATGCAACATTTGTTTCTACATCCTGCAAATCTTAAGAGTTTGTGATTATAGTATATTAACCATCTTTCAATGCACCAGAAGCAATCGCATATCTATTCAATTTTATAAAACCAATTTTACAAAATAACAATCCAGTTTTTATAAACCACAAGTGAAACAAGAATTAGATAGCGTCTAACTTCTGTGCTTAAAGATAGTTCTCTAATACTAATATCCTCATACTCTCTAATTTCAGATGTAATATTCCCACTGACTTAGCTACAACCTTGACATCAGGTGAAGTACAAATATATTCCATATCATCGAGGCTTCTGAATTCTTGAAATCCTTGCAACGAATTACAAACATGTTTAGTGGCTCCAGAATCTATCCATCAGGAATTAATAGATACAACCACATAACATGGCTCAATGATTAAATATATACTTTCATATGCCACGTCATTGCTTAGACAGTTCGTCTTTGAA